GGCTACAGGCCCAGAGGCACAGGAACCCAGTGATAAGCCGTGTCGGCAGTTTTGCCGGAAATTGAGGCTGAAAAAAAAACCAAACAGAAGAAATTGTTGCAGTGTTGCAGGTGCAAAAGTGTATGCCCCCGCCCCTCCCCAATTTGGTAGGTTCTTGGGTGGCCGAAAGGGGGGAGAGATGGAGAGAGGGAGGGAGGGAGGCTGTAAAATGTAAACCATGAAATATGCAAGGCAGGTCGGAGGAAGGCTTTTAAAATATTGCTTAAATTTTGTATGCCAGAATCCAGGCCGGATCCAGGCGGCAGGATTTAATTGAAAGGGGAGGCCAGTGTCCATCGAAAAATGGGGGACATCTCCTGCACTGCACCCCCCCTGCTATACGAGATCTTTAAACTGATTTTCATTGAGTCAATCAATTTACATTTTCCCCGCTCCATCGTCTCCATTCTGGCCTTCCGTTCCATGCTGTTCCTTCCTGTTGTTCCTTTCGCCGTTTTGTTCCATGCTGTTCCCCTCTGCTGTTGGTTTCTCCGTTCTGGCTTGCCGATCCATGCTGTTCCTTTCCTCTGTTCCTTTCCTCATTCGGGAACTCCGTTCCATGCTGTTTCTCTTCTGCCGTTCTTTTCTACGTTCTGGTATTCCCATTCTGTTCTTTTCTGCTGTTCCTTTGATCATTCTGGCATTCCATTCCGTCGAAAACTGTTCCTTTCTGCTGTTCCTTTCTCCGTTCTGTCCTACCGTTTCCTGCTATTCCGTTCTGTGGCTCCGCTCTGGCATTCCCTCCGTTCCATGCTGTTCCCTTCTGCTGTGCCTTTCCCCGTCCTGGCATTCCATTCCATGCTGTTCCCTTCTGTTCCTTCAAATAATGTCAAATCGTCTGACAAATGCAGACGATTATACGGCTAAAGGATATACATATATCCCGCAGGAAATCCTCGAATCGGGAGCTTGAAGAATTGAATGCAAATCAAATTTCGAATGGCTGTAAAAACAAAGGCTGCGAAGGGGAACAGAGGAAACAAAGGGGTGGGGCAAGGGGCACGTTTAAGGGGAAATGCTAAGTCAAGCGACTAAATTACCATTCACTTGCCACCCACTAAAAAAACAATACCCCTGCCACCTGCCACCTGCCTTCCTGCTTTCTTTTCACGTAACTTTTTCAGGCAATCTTTAACTCTTTTTCCACACCCTTCCCTCTGTTGTTTCTGCCCCTCTCCCCACTGTTTATTGATTTCCCTGTGTGACAGTTTTTCCGTGCTGCATAAACTTTCGCTGGCTTTCCTTCCTTTCGGGTGACTCTTTTTCTTGCAACCGCAAATTCATTTCAATTGGCCACAAGTGTGTGTCTGTGTGTGTGTGTGTGTGTGTGTGTGCTGCACTTCCGTTTCTGCTCGCAAATTTAATGTGATTTACAATTTAGACGATGTGCAGACATAAACGATACCGAAAGAGCGACGGCAAAAGCACACAGGGAAAATGACAGGAAAAACAGCGGGAAATGCTAGACAGAGAGAGAGAGAGAGGGACAGTGGGGGAGGGGAGGGGAACTGCCTCAAGGGTCATGGAACTAAGTTTATTGTGCACATTTAAATGAAATTGCTGCGCTCAATTTATTCGCTAAACGCCAAAAGGCATTGGCCCAGGCCCAAGCCCAGGCCCAGGCCGAGGCCCAGGTAAAAAAAAACGCAACAAAAAAGAGCAAGAGAAAAAAACTATCATTCCACGGGGCATAAAAACATTCACACTGCCAGGCTGCAACTGCAACTCCAACTACAACTCCAAACTCCACTCCGTGCTGTGGAGAACCCACTACCCCCCGCTGCCCATCGCTGCCCATCGCTTATTCATTTCATTTCGTTTCGTTTGGTTTTTGCATTTCGAATACCCTTTCGCAGGGCACGAGGAGGGTTCTGTGGATTTGAAGAGCTGTTTGGAGGGCCCCAAGAGGGATTTCATAAATCTAAGAGCTTAAGGTTCTATGAAATATCAGAAAGGGAGATTGGGAAATTCCTATCTTTTATTTGTATTTTTTTTTTGCTTGATTCTTGGCTCTTGAAACACTTTTTCAAGCTTTTAATCTACCAAATTGTGGGTTTAGAATATATATATATTTTTTTATTAGTTATTTATTTGTTTTTTTTTAAGATATTTGAATGGCAGCTAAGATTGTTGGCCAAGAGCATGATTTTTCGTGGAAAAATTACACATAAAAGAGCGAGTTTTTTTGTGGGGTTTTAGCAGAATTTATAGAAAAAAAAACAACCCCTTAAATATTAAAATCATTTAAATATTAATCAAATAATATATTGAAAATATATTAAATATTTAATATCAAGAGTTCATTATATTTTTGGAGTTAATACAAAGAAAATGCCAAAAAAAATTTAAATTTCCCATAATTTTTGAGGTTTAAAATAAACAAAACAAACAAACGTTAAAAATTAAAACAGCTAATATTTTAAATATCAATAAATCATAATTTTTATGGATTTAATGCAAATTTAAAAAAAAAAATTATTTGAAATTAAAAAAACCTACAATTTTAAATATCATTAAATCATAACTTTGTTGGAAGTAAAACAAAGAAAAACTCCATCAAAAGAGCTAGATGATTCTCAAAATTTTGTAGTTAAAACATTTAAAACAGTTAAAATTAAAAAAAAAATTAAATTTTTTTTTTTATAGAAAATACAAAGAAAATTCCATTAAAATTCACATATTTTTTCTAAGTTTAAAAATAAATAACAACAAAAATGTACTCAAAATTGTGTATTTTTTACCTAAAAAAACAACCAAATATTTAATATTAATATTTATGGTTAAATAAAATAATCTATTAATTTGAAATATATTAATTTTGAATATTTTGCTTAACAAATTAAAAGTAAGTGCATCTAATATTCCGCAAACAAAAACAACAACAACAATTGATAGTTTTTGTCTGTTTTTGTGATTGTTTTAACAATGGCAATGGCTATAGTTTTATGGCCCTAGGAGCCACCAAGTCCTTGTTGCCATTCCCTCCCCCCTCCAACCGTCCCTCCCTCCGTCCAGAGTCGTTTTATGAAATGTGGTGCATATTGTTGGCATAATTGACTGGGTTTTTGTCATAGGTTTTTGCTTGACATTTTTTGTTGTTGTGTGTCTTTTGCCTTTCATTTCCGTTTCCCGTCTAATGTGCCATTTGTTGACTGTTTTGTTGCCCCCGGGGCATGGGGCATTGCTGCCTCCAAATGGGTTCACTGGCTGCACACAAGTGACTTGGAATTTGTCGAAAAGCGGCAGCAAAGCGAAAGAGTTATGACTAGATCAATATCGTGGGAAAGAGGGGGTGGGGGGCCATGTTTTGCCACTTTGTGGCTTAGTTCTTTCTCTTTTCTAAGTTTTAGTTGCCTCTTCTAAGTTTAGTCCTTGAGGGAAGCCCTCCTTTGGGGTAGGGGGAGCTGCTGCTGCCTCTCAATAAACACTTGCCACACACAGCTCTTAATTACCTCCAATGCAAAACTTCTGTAACAGAGGCAGAGAGGGAGAGGGAGGGAGAGCGCACGAGTAAGTAGTAGGCAGTGACCTGCCACACACCTTGCCACCTTGCCACAGCTACTTCCTGTGGCCTGCTACTGTCTCTTGCTGCTCCTTCTGCTGCTCCTCTTCCTGTTTTTTTCTGCTCCTCACTTCAGTGCCTGTCATATGAAAGTTTTTGTCCAAAGGGGAGCGCTTGCCGGGGAGGGGGTGGGGAGCGACCAGGTTGTTCTGACTGCGTGTTAAACAACAAAAACGTGTGGCAGCAACTTTCCAGTCAAAGTTTTCATGACTCTTTTGTCAATTACCGTTAGTTAGGCAGAGGTTTACGGGGTGGTAATGGCAGCTCTAGAGTTGATATTAGTTGTGGGGGGACAAGTCGATTTGCGTGGGGGGCGAGAGGCGGAGGTCTACTTAGCCTTTTCCATTTCCACAGAGAGAGATATGGCGATCTAGTCCGCCTTTTCCATATCCTGAGAGAGGTCGAGCCTTCTCCCTTTCCTGAGAGAGGACCTCTACTACTAAGCCTTCTCGATTTGTGCTTACCTTCCCTCTCTTTCGCTCTGTACCTCTCTTTCTACGGCCTGTCTTTGCTGTTTCCCAATTAATGCCCCAAACAAAACTTTGGCTATTCATTTGCCCAAGACAGACGGACAGGAAGACATTTAGATAGATGGACAGGACAGAACAGAACAGGACAGAACAGGACAGGACATACTCCCTCGTGTAACTCATGCGAATGTCTGTTTGTGTGTCGTGGCCTAATCTATCATTATTGATTGGCATTAAGTTGTTGCCTGTGTGCAAGGCCTGTGTGTGGCGTGGTGGCATTAGGTAATGGCCTTCAAATTAATGAGCATTTATTTATGGCAGAGGAGAGCCCACAGTCCAAAGCTCAGAGCCCAGAGCCCAGAGCCATGTAATCCCCCCAAAAAGGCGAGTACCAGAGAGCAGGAGAGCAGCAGAGAGAGTGGCTTAGTGGCCGCACAAATATGCGAGAATTTTAATTAAAACTCAACTAAAATGCATGGAAACCTTACAGTCCTTGGACTCCACTCTCCCTCCCCCTCTCTCGTGTCTCTGTCTTGCCGCTGAAACCCAAACGAAACCAATGTTCCTGTCGGCTTAAGCCCCTGTCCTGTGTGTCTCCTTTTTAGCCTCTTCTGCGCCCACAAACTAATTCCATATCTCTCTAACCAACTCTCTCTCTCTCTTTCTCTTTCTCTTGTGTAATTGCAGCGGACAACAGGATGTGAGGAGATGTGCAAAACAAAAAAAAAGGATTTGAAATTACATTTTTAATGCCTGTTGCAGGGGCGCCAAATGAGCAACACGTGCGCGCTTTATGTTAAATATTTATAAAAAAAAACACACACACACACACACACCGAAAAAAAAGTACAGCCACGTCGAAATTCTATTAAATATTCATCTTAACGGTTATGCGACCTCTTCTTCTTCTTCTTTTTCTGTTCAAACAGCGGCTAAAAAATGAATGTTTGTTAATATTAAAATGAATTTATGTGCCAGAGCCCGAAAGTTTTTAATTAAGTGAAAAGCCAGGCAAAACGCACGAAAGAGAGTGAATGAGGAAAAGCGAGTGACAGATAAACGAGATGTTTGAACAGAAAGCGGCAACAATTTATTTGCATATTCAATGCTCATCTCATAAGCTGGTGTCAAAGTGAGCTTAGAATAATAATCAACGCTTAGACAGTGCCATAAGGATCTACCAGCTACCAACAGCAGGAGAAGGAAGAGCAACAGCCACAACAACAACAACAACAAACAACAGCAACAATCATGACCTTCGCACTGATGCTCTGGCTGGTTGTCGTGGGAGCCGTGCACTATACGGACTCCCATGAGCATGCAGATGGTTTTAAACCAGGTGAGTTTTTTCAACACAGAATTAAGAGAACAAAAAATGAAGGGAAAATGTGGGAAAAATCTCAGAATTATTAAGTATGATCGTATCTAATCGACTGCCAAATTTGGTTTGGATTGGCTGATTGGTTTGGCCAGAAAGCACAAAAGAAGTTGCCGTTGGGATGTTTGAACACCTGGCCTGCGTTGTTTTGCAGGCTAGCAGCATAGCGCTTTTCATTGCCTACTTTTGGCGTGTTTATTTAATATATTTTATATTTTATTTCTTTGGTTGACAGATCACACACACACTGTTGTTGCCAGTTTATGGCAAAATTATTTATTTACAAAAAGTGTTGCCTCCGATTTTTTTGTGTGTGGTGGAAAATGTTATTTGCGGATTGTTTGCCCTGCCATTTGCCGTATTTGTTCGCACCGAGCGGCATTTTCATTCCACATTCGGGTGTTTTTTTCTCCAGTCGTGAAGACAAATAAAATTTAATTATGCATCCAAAAAGTTATACACATTTTTAATTAGTCATTTGTTAACTTTTGTTTTGAAAAGCGTTTATGGCGCAAAGTCACGAGAGGAGGGAAAAACGTCTGAAAAGTCTCTGCCCAAAGATAAGGTTTATTATATGGCTAATTAGGCGGCAAAATGGCCAAAGAGAGAACAGCCAAAATTATTATGGAATAAAATTATGGAACGTATTTTGGAAAGGAAAAAGGAAGTGGGTACTTTTTACGTTTTATTTCTAAGGAATTTGAGGGAAAAAATGTGTTGCATATTTTGTATGAACTTTTTTTATGGGCATATTTAAGCATATTTACGGGGAAGTTTTTCAAAAAAGGTACGGGCTCTTTTTTATGATTTATTTTTGGCTAGAAACAATTTTCGTAGAAAATTAAATGGAAAGGAATATCTTTCTTTTTTAAATTAATTTTAAAAAGTTTTGAGATATTTATTGTTTGTAAAATAAAAAAGAAAAAGTAATATAATTAAATTATAAATGTTAAAGAAATATAAAAATACCGAAAAACTGAGAATAGAGTGGGTCTTTAATACTTTATCGAAAGATTTTCTTGGGGGACTATACGAAGAAATTTTATAATCAGGCAGGCTCCGTTTTTCATTTACTTTTGCGGATTACGTTTTCAGCCAAAACGTTTCGTTTTCGTTTTAAGGTGTTCCATTTTTCACATATTTTTTTTATCGATATGTTACATTTAGAAGTCCGAATTAAATTGGGCGGGAAACAGCTGTGCTCACCCAGATTTTCTGTTGAGCGCATGTTACAAGCACAGTCTGAGCTGTTACATGCACATTTGTGCTGTTATACGCAAAAATTTATTAATTTCCAACGTTCCGATAACCAAATCGGAATGCGTCAGCTGCTTACACCAAAACGAAATTTGTTGTTGCTGTGGCCAATTTTTTCCGAGTCAAATTTTAGGTTGGGTTAAAATAAAATTATTTATAAAGAAAGCACAAGTTAAATTACCCTGATATAGGTATCAAGTTTATGTTAATGCATCAATAAGTCATCTATTTTTTTCCTTTTGCAATTAAGGTTCGTTTTGTTGTATAAAAAGCCGTTTACTTTTCATTTCGTCAACGAAAATGTTTTCGTTTTGAAAACGAAGAAATCTTGCGGAATGGGAAAAAGAGAGCCCCAATTTATGTGATTTCAAAAGTAAATCGGAAAACTTTTGTGAATGTGAAAAACGGAGCCTGGCTGAATAATATTTGGTGATAAATATAATGAAAAAAAAAATGTTTTCTGTTTGAATTATATTTTAGGTTAAAATTATGAATTTTTACTCTATGTATAGCCTTCTGTTCCTTTAGTCCTTTTCGTATATATGTATATCTTATATATATTATTCTCATATCCCTCCCTTAAGAGATCCGTGCCTAATAATGGATTGAGAAAATATTCCGAAAATACTCAGAATATATTACGAAAATATTCTGAAAATAATCCTAAAATATTCCAAAAATACTCTGAAAATATTCTGAAAATACCTTCAAAATAATCACAAAAATACTTTGAAAATATTCCGAAAATATTGCGCAAATACTTTGAAAATTTTCCAAAAATAGTCCGAAAATATTCAGAAAATACTCCGAAAATATTCTGAAAATACTCTGAAAATATTTAAAAAATATTTAGAAAATATTCCGCAAATACTTTGAAAATATTCAAAAGATATTCCGAAAATACTCAGACAACTTTGAAGTGCATATTCTAAAAAAATGTATCTTAAAGTGGCATTTCCTGTGCCTTTATAAAATCTTTTTTTCTTTTCGAACTTTTTTGTGTATTTCGTATTTTCGTAATTTTTTTCCATTATTGAACATTTACTGAAACATTTTTTATGCCCTGACCAAAAACATTTAAAAGTGTGGTTAAACATTTTCGCCCATTGTTTGCATAAATGAAGAAAAGTTTAACAAAAGCTGCGGAAAAAAGAGAGAAATAAAATTATGCAATTTTATACAACTTCATTATGGGACATGTGCGCTCCATCCTGCTGTCCCCTCGGCCTCCCCCTCCCCTCGCCCTTTTGTAATAAGCGCCAATGTTGGCCACAAATCCACAAAAGCGTCACCTGTGTCACCTGTGTGTGTGTGCCCCCCTCCCCCCTGGCAGGCAGCTACTTTCCAGGACCGAAAAAATGCATAAATTCTCATTTTTATGTGTCTGCTGTTGGACTTTACATTAGCTTTGCCTCTGGATGGAGGTGTCCCCTGTCCCTACCCCTACCCCAATGTTGCTGCTGTTGTTTCCGCCCCCCCTCTGATTATCCCCAGAGAGCTATAAAAATATATACACATATTATACATAAATACTATATATGATGTTATTCAACGCTGGTGACCAAGAGGGAATTTCCGCCAAGCGAAAATTGAGTTAAAACCGGAATAAAACCAGAGTGTACCAGAGGGGAGGGAGGGGTGTTGGGGAGCTGCTTAAACTGAAGGTTAACTATATTTTACGTATCTCGAAGGGTTATAAATTATCGATCATAAGCAAATGTGTGCCCCAGCTGCCACATAAATTACACAAAAGGTTAGAGAGGGGGCGCCCCCTCCCCCCCACCCCTCGCCACTTTAATAAACGCTTTAATTTCATTAACCAAAAAAGCACTTGACGGCCAGGCAGCAGCAGCAGCAGCTTGCGGAAAGCGCCCGTCCGCTTACATAATAATTAGTAAAATAAATTTCACCTAAATACACAGCGGAAAATTCTGCACAGAGTTAGAGAGCGAGAGAGAGGGGAGAGCAAGGTGGATTTTTGGCTGGAAAAACGCACGTAGCACTTACTCTTTGGTCTGGGTCCTTCCTCAAGGCAGGTGGCAGGGGCAGGGGCTGGGGCAGGACAGCATCGTTTGCAACGTCCTCGTTCGAGTCCTGGCTTGTCGTTGGCAAATTATTTCCCATCATTTTTCACGCAAAAAGCGCAAAAAAGAGAGCTGCAGAAGGGAGGGCAAAGGGAGAGAGCCAGACAGCAACGCAGTTGTCAACGTCGCCGCGGACCGGCTCGGCATGGCATTGCGTTCGTGCCTCTGGTCTGGTGTCGATGTCCAAAGACAGGAACAGGGACAGGGACAGGACACCCAACAGACAGGCAGACAGACAGACAGACAGCTAGACAGAGTGGAGCATCGGAGCATCACGGAAGGACGATGCGATGTCATCCTCCCGAAACTGAAATCTAATTAAAGCGTGCAGCAAACGTGCAACAGCCACTGCGGCGGCTGCATGTCTCCGTGCAGTTAGCGGATTCGTCCTGTGCCTCGACAATGACGGAATATTTTGGTAAGCAAAGCGTTCTTTTATGGCTGCCAAAACGTGAGCCATTGCTGGCACAATGGGGCTTTCGAAAGTTCATTTTGGGATTTAACATCAGAATTTAAATAAATGAAGGGAATCTTTAACAAAGAACTAGAGATTTTCGGGGGGGATTTTGTGATATTTTAGGCCTTATTTTGGGCTTTGTAAAATTAAGGAAGTAATTTCTTTCAATATTTCATCAGTTTTGAGGGAAACAACTGTAAATACTTAACAGAATTATTTATAATTATTGCACTTTTATATATTTTTTTTTTATATACATATTTACTTATATTTACATTTCTTATATTTAAAAGATTCTTCAGAATTTTCATTAATTAAAAGAATTAACAGAATTCATTTATAATTATATTATTTATATTTACAAAAATTATTAACCATTCTTCAGAATTTTCATTAATTAAAATATTTAAAATAATTAATTATAATTCTTGAATTTATATATATTTACATTTTTTATATTTACAAAAATTATTAACCATTTTTCAGGATTTTCATTAATTAAAAGCATTAACAGAATTTATTATAATTATTGAATCTTTTTATATTTATATTATTTATATTGACATTTCTTGAATTTACAATAATTACACGCCATTCTTCAGAATATTCATTAATTACAAGTTTTTTAATTCATATTTATTTTTTTTTTTTTAAGCAAGGTATTTATATTTGCATTTTTTCAATAGAACAATCAGCAAATTATAAGTACATTGCATTAACATTTACATTGTATTTTCCGTGTGGCTAAATAGGGGTCTAGGGGGTAGAGCAGTTGGGGGACTCAGTCCCAGCGGGTGGCGGGTGGCGGGTGGCGGGTGGCGGTGCAGGTTGAAGGCAAGGGGTTCGCTCTGTGTCTGTCTAGGCGCTCCAGGTGGGCTTTGGTTAGCCTGAAAATCTCTTGATGAACCCAAGGGACACCGAGTTCTTGGTGGATTTCCTTGTTAGCGGGGAAAGATCACAGAGATAAGCGAAATTCTTGGAAATATAAGCTTCATATTTCTAAAATTGTAAAAGTCACAAAATGTTCTTTAAAGTAGTTTTTTTGGGGCATATAAAGTTGACTTTCTTTTACAGTCTTTCCAGCTCGGAAATCACCTTAAAAACAAGACCAATTAAAGGCCAATGTACACCTAAAATTATTATTTATTATGATCCTACATTCC